AAGAACTGTTATTTTGGTTAGCCCCGGGAGCATGGGGCAGTATGTCTTGACCAGCAGCAGGAAAATACAGAGACAGAGGAATCTAAGGTTTGATGTGGGAGGTGCTGGATGAGTGGATATTAACCCTGTCCCCTTAGGCTCTAGCTGTAATTGAATTGGCTCAATTACAGCCTGCTTCAGTGACTGAGGGAAGACACATTCTCCAGGTAAAAATCTGCCACTGTGATTAGTCATGATTTGGTGCTTTTAAGGTGAGGTTAGAAGACAGGGGTGGGAGTGGGGAGTGGAGTGAAGTAACTAAGGATCTGATGCTAAAAGAATCAGACACGGTTATGTTTTGTCAAAGGCGTGGCAGAAACTTGCAGTAGCAATCCATTTGAATATTTCACCCAATTTAAACAAAGCAAGGAAAACAAAGTATGGTAAACCAAGCTTTACAGGCTAGAAAACCTAGATGGGACATTAAGATTGAAACAGCTAAACATTTGTAATTGACAGCTCTCTCGATCTTTTCAGTGGTGACCTGGAGTTTTTATTGCTTTGGACATGTCAAAATGCCGCAGCCAAACCATTGATATCTAATCAACATCTCGCTGTCTGTATGTGGTTTTGCTTGAATCCCGAAACATGGAATTGTCAACTACCATTGACATCAAATTCATGCACAGTAGAACCAAAGACAGTCCACTGACCAAAATATGTGCATTTACTTTAATTTAGTTCAGCAGGCAGTCAGAAGCCGACAAAAATGAGTTCCCTTTCCCACTGGGAGTCAGCTGAAACTGACTCAGTGTATGTGAGTGACTGCATGGCTCTTGATTTCTGGACCTTTCAAGTGACCATCAAAATGGCTGAGAGGCTAGTTTGTCACAGAGCAATGCTATGAAAGGGTAATGTATTCCTTCACCCATCCTGTTTTAGCAAAGCTTGTGCAAATCACGATGGCATGATCTTTTTTTATGCCATCACCTCATCACAGAAACATTTTCAGATTACCCATATCAGTGCACAGCTTAAGTTGGACCTTAATAATCTGATCCTTTTTAAGACTGATATATTTCTTTAAACGTTGCCAACTAGAAGGTGTCGACTTGTTTCGTTGCCGCTGGGTGAGAGGGGTTGAGTCAGGACTGGGGATGGGGAGCGGAGGGGGACATGGGAACGAGGGGGCAGCGTTTTAACGGGACCAGCGAAGGATGAAATGTGAGCACAGAGGGCTGCCAGCGTACATCAGGAGCTTTGTCTGACATGGCGACTCAGTCGAGTGAGAAATGAACCAGGGTTTCTCCAGAGCACACGACAAATAATCATCGGCACCATGATCTTCCACTGCTCTGGGGGCATGCTCACTATTATTAGACAGGGAACTGTTGTAGATTTCTTCTCATTTTTTTATCAGGAGGTGGATCATGGTTACTCAAGTTAAAATCTTTAGGTTTATTTGAGGGAGGTAGGAAGGCATTTGATATCTTCTATTTCATTGTGTCATGTCCATCCATCCATTTCTAACCACTGCCTACATTATGTAACTGTTAATTGTGGTTCTCACACCTGTAAAATACGGTGTTATTGTCCTCATTTTCCTTTATTTTTCTTCCCAAGGAACTGCTCGCCATCTCTGGGCATGTGGTGAAATTGTATGGAAACACGAATATGCCATCATGACCCAAAAATAGGATGTGTGGGTTATGCAATAAGGGGGGAACTGTAATGCAACTGAGCTGGGGGATGATGTCACTTTCTCTGAGCTGGGGGATGTGCAGACGTGCGTGCAGAAATGGACAAAAATAGAAAGGCAAATAAACTAAGACTGGCCTAAGAGGAGATGTGGGATGTCTTTACATTACTACTAACAAGCCAGTAGTCTCGCATTGTTACTTTCTGCATTCTGCTACTTGCTAGAAACTTGAGGCTGAAGAAGGTAATATGCAGTCTAATCAGAATACCTGTAAAACACTGTGTGCTGTAATTTCACCTCTGTTACAGAACCTCAGCTGTATATTTATGCTATCCTGGAAAATCAAAACTTCAAAACATAATCAGACAATTACTTCAACATGAACTAGACATTACACATCATCTTCAGGAGTGCCAGTTTAAACGTATGCTTCAGGGTGAGATTTGTACATAACTGGTGCAGTACTGTAGAATTCCTGATTTCACAGGGAAGAGTTCAGAACAACACTCTTCAACTACAAATGGGAGGATAAGAGAAGAAGGCTTCATCCCGCACAGATCATAGTACTGTGTGGCAGGGAGTGTCATTTATAAAGAGATCATTAATGCAAAGAGGAAAGATTGCCTTCAGAGCTCAAAGGCCAAGAGGAATATCTGGAAGTGTCTACGAAAACCAGGAATTACAAGACAAGGGTTATAACGTTGCCAGAACACAGCCCAACTTTATCTGCTGAGCTTTCACACTGTAGTCCTTGAAACATGTACTTAAGATTTGTTGATTCCTTTCAGATTTTTGAATTCTTGTGTCAGATACTATTCAGTCTATTCAAGACTAAAAAGGTTCAGTTCCTTTACCTTGTCAATGTAGAACATCCCCTTCAGCCTCAGAAACTATATGGACTAATTCAGATATCAGCAATATCATAATGTGGTAACCAAAAGTTTTACACAATATTCCAAATGAGGCCTTACTAATGAGTTATACAATTTTATTATAACATCCCTTGATTTAAATTATACTCACATGGTCTACAAGATGTAAATGATGTGTCAACATAAATACCTCAGTCTTTCTCAGAAGTAGCCTCTTCAAGCTCAGCATTTACCATTTTGTCTTCATAATCTGTGTATGTACCACCTGCCTACAATAGAAGCTACCTGCTTGCAATACCCTGTTGCTTTCCTCAGCAAATTAATTTTCCTCAAATTAATTTGCTGCTTCTACAGCAAAAAGGGTTTGCGAATTGTTGGCATCATCTGAAACTTGACTAGTTGGCTGAGTATTTTGTAATCTAGATCATTGAGATCAATTAGGAAGAGCAATGGTCTTAGTACACTTCCTTGTGATACTCCACTAAATGCTTCACTCCGATTTCAGTATTCACTCTTTATCTGGACCTTCTGTTTTCTAATTACTAATCAAATCTTTATTCAAACACTAATGTTTCCTTGAAATGTATCAAAAGCCTTCTGAAAATCGAAATACACCTATTGTAGATAGATACTTTATTGATCCCATGAGGGAAATTGCAGTGCAACAGCAGCTTAACACAGACGACACAGCAACAGTGTAACGAATGATACAAATAATAATAATACAATACATACATACAGTACAGTGAGAAGCGCACTAAGGAGAGTATGGTGTAAGATTTAACACTTCTAAAACCATGCTGACTATTTTCTAGAACATTACTTCCATAATGTGAGTCTCTTATTTGGGAACAATGTTTTAACTTTAGACACCTGAAGAAGGCCCCACACATGAAGAAGGCTCTACAGCCCAAACATTGTCTCTTTTCTTTTCCTTTCACCATGGACTAAGCCTTTACCTGTTCCTTTCCAGCCTACACATGCTGACACAGTTCCCTACTTGAACACCTTCTAATTTAGTTCTTATATTCATTCCATTACCTTACATGTAAGTCTTACTTATACTGCAGGTCTATATGATAACACCTAATGATGTCATTTCCATTTTTGTACACATACTGCAGTTTCCGATGATGTCAGTGGTGATGTCATTTCTGTTTTGCTGTACACATTGCTGATGATGTCCTGTCCAGTGGTCCCAAAACTTCCTGCTGTGAGCTTGGACCCATGCTGATGTCATCGGCCATCAGGAAGGAAAATACCAAGGCTGTAAACAATGCACTCATTTTCCATGCCACTGAGCCCACAACAGGATTTAATTCTCAACCATTCCACCCTGACTAGTTTGTCTGAAGCCAGCAGTGTGCTAATCAATGCCGACAGTGGAATGCAAGCAGAAAACATTACGAACCCATCATTAGAATGCTGACATATTGATGTGGCACCTGCACAAGCCTGTAGGGAACTCCTGGAAAAAGAAAAAAAACTTCATGACTGCACTTGACAGATTGGTCTTTTCTCCCCCTTCTTCCTTCTTACTTCTCCTCACGCTCACAGCTGGCAGATTCACAACCAGACCAAGGAAGGGCCGAACAAGACTTTTAGGCCATCCTTATAAAACAAATGTTTGCCAAGCTTAACTGCCCGGAAGCTGGAGGACTTTTTCTTCCAAACGATCAAATCAAGGGAAGATAAAAAATTGAGCCCACTGTGCCTTTGCCTACTCTTTTCTTCAAGGTCAAAGGACTATAAAACTGCCACGTTTCACTCCAGGTGTCATCACTGCAAAACAAGATCTTTACACAACGGGATGAGGGTTTTTTTTAGCTGACCATTTCTCTGCAGTGTCCACTTCACTGAAGTGTCACTTGAAGCATAAGATTCAGCACATGGTGAAATTGTGGGAGTCAGTAGCTGCGGCTCCTGGGAAATTCATATGGTTAGAATACACTGCTGCCATAAATTCATAATATGTTGATGCTAGTTGATCTTTTCTATTGTTTTTTTTAAACACAACTAGCAGCAGTTTAAAGAACAATCAATTTAATCCTTAATCAAGAGCTTTATATACTGTAGGTTTTGTACAGACAAAACATTATTGACCTCATCAATGGGGTGCAATTTGCTTAGACTAACTTTGTGGTCTATATCCTTAATCTCAGTGTAGTACATTGTTCTGACTTTAAACTTTTGCTAAAGCATGTACAGTTTTTTCTATGTAAAGTATATTTCTCATAGACCACAATAATGATCAGAATAGTGTTTTTAGTTAATTCAGATCCCTTTTTTTATACAACCACACTGTATTGGTGGGGGTGGCCATTTAGCGGGTCCAACCGCATTTGCTTGTGTGACTGCGTTAACCTCTCCTGTATCCAACAGATGGCGCTAGCACTTAAACCATCACAAAAAGACTGATCTGCAGAACAGTCGAACAGCCTTATTATGAAAGGACATGGAACTGCATCTCTGTTAAAATGCAGAGAACTGGATAAGCTGGCAAGAAACTGTATGTCAGTAGGTGTTTTTACAGCTGGTTTTCTTCTTGAGGTATGAAACCTTTAAGATCCCAATTAATGAGGTTCATTTTAAAATTAAAAAAATGTTTAACAGTGATCTGTGGGTCTGTCTAAATCCTGAAGTACTGTATGCAAGAACAGATCTTTCACTGCAGTCTGTTTCATGTATCTAATTCAAGCATGCGCATGGCAATGTAGATCTCTCTCTCACACACATACAGTATATGTACGAAAACACACTCAGATGACTAAAGTATGATATCTAGTTCTAGAAGAAAGGGTCCCGTTCATTATGAATGCTTTTACTGATGAGGTTATGTGCAGATTTCTTTTCAAATCATTGGTGATGAAAGAATGTGATGTATGGAAAGAACAGAGATGAAAAAGACCAACTAGCATACATTATAGGACAACAGATATTCTGATAATGTCACATTTAATTTTCAGTTAAATGAAGCATGTATTTTTTGCATGTGCATGTCTTCACAATGGTTCCCCTCTTTATGTGTCCAGCACACAACACAAACCCGGGCAGAAGTTAAATGATCCCCAGTCATTAAAATGCAGGCTCTGTCATCGCAGTAAAAATTCAATATAGGCAGGGAAATATCAATATGCTGTGGCTGGTGGTCTCAGAGCAAACCATGCAGTTTTCTTGATTTTGAGCCAGAAACTGAAATTCTTTGCATTGAAACACTGCACATTACATTTGTAATTATACAGCATTTTCTGAGTGACCCCATGTTCAATTGTTGTTTTTGTATATGATATCATGCAGTGTAGTTATATAAGAAACTTCATGTCATTCAGGTTTAATTAATAAACTTCACAATAATATTATAGTAAATTAGTGCACCTAAATTAGAAAGCTATGTTGAGCTTAACATGTACTTTCTGATCATGCAACAAGGTATATTTAAGACCATCACCTCCACCACCTAACCTTGTCAAATTGATGTTCACACATTTTTAAGCTGCTCTTTTAATTCCCTCTGCAGTGGAAATAAGCTGATATCATTCACCAGTGTTCATGTTTATAGTACTTTTATCATTTTAAATCAGCTATAGCAGGAAGCAGTGACCAACTACTGCATATGTGCATGACCCTAATGTACTCAGTGGCATGGAAACAGCCCCTCAGAGGTTTCCTCAGGTAGGTGTCCTCAGGAAACTATTGCTGCCTCTTTCTCTTCCCAAACAACACATTTTAGGATTTCCAAAATGCAATGAGAAAGATATTGAGGATCCCTGAGCGCTCTCCCAGTCAAAGGTTTCGATAATGTTAATATGCATTTGGAAAAATCAATGAAATTGCTTAACTGGACTCTCTTGAATACATTCCCTTCACACGCTGGGTGCTTAAAGCTTTGAACTTCCGCGGCTTTGGACTCATTAATTAAAGCAGCTTGCTGGCAGAATACCAAAGTAGTGGCAGTGGCTGGAGTGCATGCTATGAGCTAAAAAAACACGTAAGAACTTTTTTAGATATTTTGCAGATAAGTGATAGACCACAGTGCTTATTAACGAACAAATAAAAAAAGAATTGTAGCAAATGTTTGAAGATTTCATAGATTGTTTTTGAAATTCTAGGCATCCTGTATTGTTATATTCACAAGTTTGCTTTTGGGTCACAAGCCAGTATTCATAAAAAAAGTCTATAATACATGTTCAGAGCTTCCTCATTTGAAATTCTGTTATTGAAATCATTTTTGTCTGGCCCCCTGCCCCCCGCCCTTCCTGGATTTATGGATACTGTAGCTGAATGACATGGAGATTAGACATTGCTATCAGAGACTAATTGACATGATAGTCTTCCTTTTTTTTCTGTGGCAGTCTACCCTAGGAGTAGTCTTTTTGCTGATCGCTGACATTTGAGGCTTTGTTGGTACATCTGTGCTTCAGCGCACCTTGCTGAGTTAATTCCCGAATCGAGCAGGTGTACCATGTGCAGCTGGCAGTGAGCGGTCAGCCATTCACAGAGTGACTGTGCTTCCTCACCAGAACACAAAGCTGGTGTCGGCACATCACCCCAACACAGTACAGCTATCAGCCTCCTTTGGCTGTTGGCTGTAATACATCCAGCTTGTTTGCTCGGGAACAGCAATATGAAAAAAGTAGAAAATCAGGCTGATGGACCACTGAACTGTATTGTGTTGAAGCCCAAGTTGGAAAGTGCTGGTGAAATTGTAGAAAATACGTTTCTCTTTATCATTTGTAGAAACAGAACCAGCTCCATTTTTAGAAGAGTTTTCCAGTTGTGTTGTGAGCAATTAACAAATGTGGAGCTCAGAGGGGATGAAAAATGGACACTGTAGGCCCTGGACAATGGAAATTGACACCAGCTGACCTAGAATAAAAATAAAAGTTATTTCATTTTGTTTCCTTCAGGAACCTTAGAGAACACTGTATTTTATATACACTGAGGACACCTGCTGGCCATGTAGGTGTACTGCAACTTAGTTTCCCGAAATTAGTTCCATCCTGACCAAACCATGGATTGCAATATGAGTGGGACACAATGTTGTCATGTGGAGGAGTGAAATAATGATGTGCATTTTAAGTCTGTCTTTATTTTTTAAGATGCATTGTGATTTTCTTGTCTCCACCCTTTCAAGATGGGTCTAGGGTTTTTCAAACACCGGAATTGATGATCTGTAAAGGAAAAACTGCAGACGCAGAGATAATTAATTAATTATTTTCTAATGCTGACAGCATGTATCACACCCAGTATCTTACTACAGTCTCACTTCTCCTGTACTCTTTTTTTTCCCTAATTACCGTTAGTCATCTCAAGACAGGGAAGTTAGGGAAAGGAATACAAACGCATTTTCAAGTGCTACTGCAGTGAAAGAGGAGGGAGGAAAAGTGGTGTTGGTGTTGGGGGGGGCGGGGGAGGTGTTTAAGATCACAACCTCTAATACGTGCCCTGCATGCTGTTGCCACGTCTTGTTGCTATGGTGACAGCATCCGACTGCAGGTGTGCAGCAGCGAGAGATGGAGTTGGCCGGGTGCTCTCCCTCTCTCTCTCTCTCTATACACAGCGCTGTTATCAGCACAGGAGTGGACATGAAAGGACATCGCAGTTGTCGGGAGAATAATTGTCAGCAATTAGAAGGATTTTAATAGGATGAAAGGATGTGTTTTTACTGGCACTGTCGATGTGCTTATTAGAAATTAAAATGCCTGAAACGGTGGGAGGAGGGGGAGGCACGAGAGGGGCGGTGGGGGTGTTTGTTCAGCTTCCTTTCTCAGCTCACGTTGCTGATCAGTACAGCAGGACAGGAGACACTTGTGCACGCACCTCATAATTAATTCCTATTGGCAGTTCCCTTAGAGGTGCATGCATGACTCTCCCCCCCAATCCATGAGGTGATCTAATGTGGTTTGTGATTCATCTTATGAAATACTGTGGGAAGCACTTTGGAAAGCAAACTTGTGATTTACAGTTTTGAAACTTGCCATGATAAACTGGGGGAAATCCTGAAAAAGCAAACTCATGGTATAAGCTTATTACAAGCATGTGTCAAAATTCTATGTGAATACAGTGTGCTAAACATTCAGGAGGATGAATCTCTGAAGACCTGGCACAGCACAGAGCGGAGTCACCCACTGTCTCACCAAGACCCGCACAAGTATTATCTCAGTGCTGTTACAAATCGTTCGTGCACGAACCTTCATCCAGCAGTGGTGTGTGTTAAGAGGTTTAGGGCAGGGTCTTTAATGCAAAGACTTTTATTACGGGCTGACCCAGGGGCTGTTCAGCTGTGGGTCTCTTTTTTGTCCCAAATGGAAAGGGAGCGAACCCTGACCGGCCCTCAGCAGAGAGGAGATGCTGTAATAATAATGTGAAGTCACTGTACTATACAATGCTATTAGCCCTTAGGCACCACACAAAGCTAAAGCCTGGAAATTGAAATACTCTATGTAAAGAAAGTGCACAATTTATTGCAGACATCTCCCAGCGAACCATATCTTTCTTTATTCTGCTTGTGGAAATCATCCCATATCAAAGCTATAATCTCTCCAGTTATGTCATGTCTTCTTTATGTACTACAGCCATGGCTGGATATCCTGGGGTGAACAAACAGAACTGAATACATTAGGATCGTGGCTCTGCAGTGCAGAACATGTACAGTAGCTCAGATGCAGTAGTGGATTGTTTTTATAACATTAGCAAGCAGATAGGCTCATAGAATTTAGAGGTGTCCTCTTATTTTCTCAGTAATTCATCTGGAAGGTACTGAAAAATGTTGAACCTGCTCTTCCTGAAGTTAATGCTGTTGACTTTTAATGCAAACCTCAGGTTTTGGAGTGGTGTGCTGCTCCAGTGATTGCACACATCTGTGCACAACCTGTGTGTGCGTGCAGGGCTCCCCGCTCTCAGGGTGGAGCTGAAAATGAAAGCAGCCTGTCCCTCTTTCATGTGGGAGTCATGTCTATTGAATGAAATGGGTGGCAATGAAGTTGAAACCTTTGCCATTGTCTGTGATCACAGCTGTCTGATTTTCTGCTACTTCATGTCAGTTCCTATTAAAGGGGATCAGCTCCAGCTTCTCATGTTTTCCTTTCATACATCACGCAGCCAAAGTGCTGTCATAAACTAGAGCCCATTCTCTTGGCTGGGGGCACCCTGTTATCCCCTGCAAAGCTTCAAACAGCCTTGAAGCCTTTCAAACTTTAAATATCAATTTAAATATTAACAACAATGCACAGGTAAAGATGCACAGGTTGTTTTTAGAATTTAGCATGATGTACTGCTCTTGGTAGGAGCATGGCACTTTGAACTTCTTGTGATACTGTGGATGCTGAATGTGCTTTCCTCCCCCAATCAATCCCAGTGAAGATGCTGCATTTACTCAAGACTGAGAGCCCTTTATCACCACCATGAGTAAGGAGCTCTTTTTAATTGGGGAATAGCTAAACCTGCAGGTACTGCAGCACATATGTATAATACATTTACATATACTGTAGAACTTAGAACTATTAACATGCTATAATATTTCAACAACAACAATATTATACACTAATTTATCAAGTGCAATCACAATATTGTTTCTAACACCATATGTACTCTTACTGTACTGTATGTTCCTCTTTTTAATATTGGATATTTTTCCTTGTATTATTTCTACAATCTTATTCATACAGATGTTTCACCTTCCCTTCCACATTGTCTTCAATAGCTTAGGTTTCTGCTTGAAGCATTTCTGTATTCCATCCATCCGCTTTCTAACTGCTTCTTACAATTCTAGGTCGTGGGAGATCTGGAGCCTATCCTGGCATGCAGTAGCTCCAAGCCAGGGTATACCCTGAATGAGACCTCAGTCCATCGCAGGGCAGACAGACAGAAACACACAAACTCACACAAGGGCCAATTTTCCCAGAAGCCAGTTCGCCTACCAGTAGGTCTTTGGACTGTATGAGGACACTCCTGTGAACACGGGGAGAGCATAAAAACTCCAAACAGATAAATCCCCAGGTCTGGAGTTCAACACAGGGCCCCAGTGCTGTGAGATAGCAATGCTAGCCGCTGCCCCCACCTTGCTGCCCCTGCTTCAGTTTGCCTTGTTTTGCTGTCTTCCTGTATTTTTTGGTTTGTACCGTCCGCGATGCCCAGAACTCCAGGCCACCTGAAATGTACAGGAGCTGGAAATGATGCCGAGCCTCAGAATCCCTCTGTCTTTCAGCTTCGCACAATGCCCCAGGGTGGACATACAATGAAAAATAATGGCATATTCTACATTTCTAGTTAAAAAGAAGGAGGTGGCCAGGACAGGTCAATATTGGCTTCAAGTTTCCATCTTTGTCCAGGAAGTAGCAGATAGTAGTAGTAATAATTATTATTATTATAATAATAATAATAATAATAATAATAATTCCTTACACTTACAGTATATGGTACTTTTCTGGACATTCCACTCAAACACACATTTGGTGTCACAACACTGTAGCCAGTCTTAATCCATGCATGACAAAGATGCACCACAAAGGGTTGTGCAATGTCACAGAGGATTGTAGGATGTGATTTGCCATTAAGCCGTGAGATTTACACATTCCGCTGTCGCAATAACGCCTCATCATTCAGGATCCCAGGCATCCTGGCCACAAACTGTTCCCTCCCCTGCTCTCTGGCAAGTGGTACTGCACTATTAAAGCACAGACCACTAGGCTTAAGAACAGCTTCTACTGTAGTACGCATCTTCAACAGCTAACAGCAATACCTGACTCAATGCATGTCTGCACCGTACACTTTTTGCATGGGCTACCATGTTTTTTTTCTTTCATTACTTCATATGTGTGGTTCTTGTTGTATTATTTGTTATGTTGCAATGTATTGTCTACATTGTGTGGTGTTGTCTGTTGTACTGTGTATGTCCTGAGAGATCAGAGCAAATAAAAATTCCAATGTACATATTCATACTGTATGGCTATGTACTCCACCATCACCAATGTGCAGCACCCACCTGGATAACAGCAGCCATAGTGCGCCCATACACTCCCCACACACCAGCTCTCAGTGGGGAGGAGAACAAAGTGATGAAGCCAGTTCAGAGATGGGGATTATTGGGAGGCCCTGATTGATAAAGGCCAGGGAGTAATGTCAAGATGCCGGGGTAACACCCCTTCTCTATTCGAGAAACACCCTGGAATTTTTAATGACTACAGTTTTACATCTTGTCTGAAGGATGGCTCCTTTTTATGGTATAGTGTCCCCAACGCTATACTGGGGCATTAGGACCCACACAGACCGCAGGGTGAGCGCCCCCCGCAGGTCGCACTAACACCTCTTCCAACAGCAAGCTTAGCTTTCCCAGGAGGTCTCCCATACCAAAGACACTCCACTGTTATCTGAGCATTAATTAATAAAATGAATTCACCAAACTTGCCCCCTCTTGCATAATACACACTATTGTGTAGAGATCACTGACACATGTTCAAACACACACTTTGTTCTATCCCATGATGCTCTTCATGTCAGCAGCTTTCTACATGTCTGAATTAATAAATCTCCTTACAAATCTGAAACAATAGTATACAATGTAGCTATATTCCACATTAGGTAGCATAATAAATGAAAAGTGTTATGTGTGAAATGTAAGCTATCATAGAAGCATAGTTCCATCAGGTGACTGATTGCTCAGATAGGACCAAAGTCTACTGTATGCAAGAAGGAAGTTGTATACTCCAGGTCTATCTAGATGCAAATGTACATCAGTAGCTAATAGTGCAGAATAATTGTATACATCTGATTGATCCAACTGAACAAGGGAAACTGCAAAGGGTTATATTGTAATCCACTATTACAGGTAGAAATTTTAGTCTTTTTTAAAATGTAATTTTCTTTCCCTAAAATCAGTAACTCTATACATTGTACAATCAAACCAAACTTGTCTCTCCACTCCCATGATGGCTGAAGTAGCCATTCAGCTAATTTGAAGCAAGGAAATTTAATCCAGATATATAGGGTTTGACCACAGGCTAAATTGTCTTTGAGGTTAAAGGATTAACCATCAGCTTTGTCTTAAGTGTACTAGATACCACATTAGGTCACATCTCTGACCCCGGGCCATTATCTGATTGATAGGTTTATTCTACAGAAATCGGTCAATGTGATTGGGGCATGCTACGTGTTGGTGTTTTACTGGGATCTTTCTCATTTCAAAATCTATTTGTTCTTCCCTTGAATTTGTTGAGCATTTGTCACAACCCTCTTCTCTCACTAACAGTTTCCAGTGTTGTTAAGGCTGAAAGAGACAGACTGCTAAGTCAACAAACAAGGAAAGAAGGTTTTCTGCGACTCCTATTCTGTCTTTGTCGTGTTCGGCTTTCCTGCAGTGGGGATTTCAGGGGTTGCTGTGTGTCAGGTAAATCTGTGCTCTTACATTTTCTAACTCCAGCAACACAACCTTATTTAAACGTTGCCCCCAGCTTCCATGTGTAATTAATGTCATTCACATTTAAAGCATCTTTTAATGGTGCAAGAAGCCCAGGTCTCTTTGGAGGTTTATCAAGATAATGACCCTGTGTAACTATTCTGAAATCAGATGTTAGTCATTGATAAGTGTTACTTTGGGAAATAACCATCTTATTTCGAGGAAGAGGTGTTTAATTTGTATTAATTTACTATTGTCAATTTAGCTACTTTTATTACCTCTCATAAGAGACTGAATTTCACTAGCAGGGTTTCACAGGCTATAACAGTATAATCTGTAAGTTACTTGTTTTGTTTTAGAAGGCCTTTTCTTCTTGTGTCAAATGACTGGTGATTTGTTATTATGTTAAGGTCCTGATAATCCGTACTGAAATTGTAAATTAGTGTTGACTGCAGGGAGCTTTGTAATCACATTTTATACTTCATAACTAAATGATTATACTTCACCATACTATTTAACGCTCCAGTTCAGAGTGCCACTCTGTTTACATATAAATTATAATATTGTAATTCATTTCATCATAAAAAAATAAAAGCATCCATTTATATTTTATGCAAGCTTAAACTCATGGTTACACTGGCTCTTGGAATTTCTCAACTCCAAAAGCTGTATTTACTGTTACACTGGTGTCAGTGCAGCTGAAGCTGCCTGAAAACTGTTACTGTTCAACAAATTCGAAATTTAAACTACGGACAGGTTTTACTGAATTTCCAAGGAATGGATGGTGGACGTTACCTGAAACAGACAAAGCTCCAACCGCATAGCACTGTGACCTCTGTTGTGATGTTTCAAGGTGCAAGGACACAGATTCTTCTACTGAAGTGGAAAGGCATGAAATATATTATCCAATACCAAGCATTTTTTAAATTATACTGAGGCATAATGGGACTGTTCACTCCATTTTAAATTGTGAAACCTTTAAGTAACATAAGAAGTAAAAATCAAACATGTAAATAATACTTTCTGACATTAACTGGCATACTTTTTAACGACTAAAAGCAACCACAGAAAGCAAGAGTCCTTGCTTCACAATCATTTACATTTCCCGCGCCAAAGGAAACATGAGATATTAACTACACTTTTAGGCTACTGTGCAAAAACTGTTTTGAGGATGTAATGTAAGTAGGTTTAAAAAAATAAACAAACATTAATACAATACGGCCGCTGATTTTTTTTCTCTCTTGGAGTCTGGGCGTCGCGCGTCGACTTGTCCAGCTCAATCAGTTTGCGAAAGAGTGCCGCGCCCCGCGGTCAGCGAAGGCTCGGGTCTCCTTCGGCTCTGAGACTAACCGGCGGAGCCTGCAAGAGGCTCATGATCGCCCTGCTGCACGGCCTCTCCTCGGGCTGCTGGGACAGGGAGGCAGAGGGGGCACGGAGCCCTAAATAGCACTAAATGGAGATGACCGTGTAACATGCAGAATAGAGATCTGAGTGATCCTGCTTAGGAAAGAGGGGCGGAGGGGGTTGATTTCACGCTAACTGAACGTGGCATTTGCAACACATGACTTCTAGCTTTGTGTTTGTGTGAGATCGAGTGTGTGCTTGTACTGTATGAAGCTGACTCTCAGTCTTACTCTCCTAACCTACCCATTTTGTTTCATGCCAGTTAGGACCGTTTATGCAGACTTTATATCCTTTAGATATCTAAGAGGTATCTCTTGGATACACACTTGGATGGGATTAAGTATTTTGTTTGGTTTAAAATATGTTTTATGCAACAATGCAACAGGGAGGCGGAGTGTTTAAGTGACTTAGTGGGCAAGTCTCTGTACTCATGACTATCAGTATGTGGACTCAAGTCCCTGCTGTTCTGACTTGAATGAGAGATTTTATCCTCGTTGTTCCAGTCCACCCAGCTGTATAAATGTGGACCAGTGTAACTGGGGGGTGATCCCTGAGATTGACCTGTGTCCCGTCCAGGGAGGGAGTCATGTGCTCTCTAGCCCGTTTAACAGTACTGAAACCAGGATGGACTCTGGCCCAGTGAGCCTCTTTGGCTCTGGTATGGACTTTGCCATACCAGACTATTAACTCAACAGTGAAGTTCATAGATTAATGGAGAACAAGCACAAACAGAATTTGTTATTTCAAATACATTGACAGACTAACAAGGTACAGGATCCAATTATTGGTTCAGAACAGACAGTATATGCATTATTTAAATCAAGGGATCCCAATTCTGGTCCTAGGGGCCCAGGCACCTGCTGGTTCTCATTCCAGTCCACCTTAATTACTTAATTGGAGCCTTAATTGAACTAATAGTTTACTTGATTGGAACATTTTATATATTTTTTTCAACTCAAATGTTTGGCATTTTCGGTTACTTATGAAATGCCATAGATAAAAGGTATCTGTTGAGAGCTGAAAACAAACAGTTCAAATTAATCCTGGTATTAAGTCAATTAAGGGATTGATTATGTAACTGAGAGCTGGGTTACAACAGGTGTGTTTAGTTCACAAACAAGAAAACATTGTTCTTCTGCAATTCAACTGAACACAGACTAAAAGAGAGACAGGTTTGAAACACACAAGCACACAAATTAATGTTAGTTGTCAGTTGGGCATGATAAAGTTTTCCTCTAGAATACACCAGCAGTAGTAGGATTTTTCTGACTTAGCCTCACATGCAAAACCTGTGAAATGTGACTTTACCCCTCCAAGATACCAGACCATTAAGACTTTTTAGGCTCCACTCCACTGATACTCTGATAAAAGCTTGGAGAGGTGATAGCAGAAAACAAGGTCAGAACATGAGTCCTGATTTGACCTCGCTAACCCTGCATGATTGACAGCTTCTTTCATCGCTAAAGTGATTTGATTTCCTAGCGATTGAGTGCTTGTGGTTGTAGAGTGATAATAACTGCAATTGGTCCATTCTAGTATGCTGGAAAGAGTAAACCTGGGGCCGGTACAGATGAATTGTGTCTCATACTGTACATACCTCTTTACTTATTTGGTGTGCATTGTTTAAGATGTGTTCAAATTCTAACATATATTGCAGCAGAAAAAAAGTCAGATTTAACAGATGCACACTCATACACTCAACAAGTGCTGGGTGTTTCAAGACTCCTAACTGCTATGAAATAAATGTTGTGTAAGGAGACTTACACAATTAAAGGAAGGGTAAAATACTGCTTTGTCAGTTTGGACAAGTTCTTGATTGTTATAAAGACTAAAATGGATTAAATTACAGTGCAGTAGGAACCCTTTCTACTTCTTATAGCCGTTGGGGAAATGTATAGCTATTTGTTTTCCACGTTTGCAGAATAGCATGTACACTTAATTTATTCCTTCAATTTGCATGCAGATTTTATGTCAGTGGAACACAAAGGGCTTTACTTATAGAAAAAAGGTCCCACATTATCCACTAGTGAAGAGCAGTACCCAGCTGGTTGACATTTGGGAGGGGAGTTTTTAGGTACACGAGATTGTGTCTGAAACAGAAGTTAGCACAAACCTGATCATACTTGAACAAAACAGTACTTTGTGTTGTGTGGACACATTGATTTACTGATAAAGTATCTATCTAGTAAATTTCAGAGTGTAAAAGTATTTAATTGCATTTCCTTTTGAAGCAATGATGGTCATGACTCATGATGCCATTATGACGTTCACCTGTTATGATGTTCATGACCCATGGTGCTCATCATGTTTTGTGCTCACCATCCTTTTGCATATTCAAGCATTTGGGATGTTTTGCTGTTGCCACTTTGAGTCCTTGCCTGTCTGTGGCATATTCTGACCTCAATTGTTGTTTCTCCAGCATGTATTGCATAATGTGTGCTCAGTTGAATTTAAATCTGGAGGTTGACCTGGCCAGTTTAAGATTTTTCTTTTTTTTTTTCCTAATGAACTTGTTGATTGCATTGGCTGTATGTGTTGGGTCCTTCTCATGCTACATGGTGAGCATTACCCAATACATACGGTAGCATTTTCTTCTACCTAAGCATATTTCTGTTACGTTCAGAATTTACTCTGTTGTTGCCAATATTACATCATTAGAAAAAAATGAGCCAATTCCAGAGGTGGACATGTATGATCAATCCTTCACATTATTACCACCACGACTGAAAATTTACTTTTTTCAAAACATGTTTTGTGGACAGATGAGACCAAGATAAGCTTCGACTAAAGTAATGGAAAGGCTAAAATGTGGAGAAGGAAAGGAACTGCTGATGTTCAGAATGCCACCTCATCTGTGAAGCACGCTGAAGATAATACTTAATGAAGAACAAACATTCTCTTTCATTAGAGTAAATTTAATATTCCTAAATTACATGTAATGTGGAATTTTAAGATGTCCTTCAATTATGAAAAAGTACTTTTTGCAAAATAAGGTTTGCATGATCTTATACCTTGTAAATCCAGTGGTATTTTGAGAACCACAGAGAGATAAATAACTGCAAATAAAAATCTTTGATTCCTAGACTCTTTGTTTGAAAGTCTGATATCCTGAGTTTCAGTTTTTAGATCAATGCACCCTCTCAAAAAGACCTTTCAATAATTCTGCTCTATGTATCTACAAAACTGTCTTCTTTGCTTCTGCAATCACTGGGGTGCCTTTGGAAATGGCAGAGCCTTAGATGACCCATAGGAAGCACACAGAGAATGTATAATGCAATTACATTTCACAGCCCATCTTCCTGGGAAAATCAATGCAATCTGTAATAGCATTTGATCAGCCAGCTGGAAATGTAGCTCAACTGTCACTAAAACAGAAAGAATTTTTCTCTCATGCTGAAGAAATCCTACCTATTTTCACTGCACACAAACTTACTTGTCATTCTTAGTTGGAGTTACTAACGTTTAGCTATCCAAGCATGTGCGCCATGATTTTTTTCTTTATTACCAGCTGCCCATCCCCAGTTGTATATATACAGAAAGTTGGGGGGGGTCTGCACAAACTGCCTAGCTTTGTTGTTGAAGTTAATTCCTTGGGGTACGTCAAGAAATGTCTAGCTGAAATTCTTGGGTTAGTCAGATACTAGCAACCAAAGAGACTGCACCTGTAATGCAAAGAGTGAACCATGCATATGTCTTCAGCCATTTCATCAAAAATGCAGAGGTGATTTTTACAAAATAACTTTCCGTCTTTGATAGTTTATTTATTCTTGCTGGTGTTGTCACAGCCTAATAGGAAACAAAAACATCGCAATCACAGAGCCATAGACGGTAATGCTACTAAAATGAAGCAATTCTTTTTTGTGTGTCTACAAAGAAAATGGGTAATTTCTTGACTCTTTGTGTTGACAGGAAACTGAAAACGTTTGGTTAAATACAGTTTACTGCCAACATTTTAGTGGTCCTGTTTTGTCCAGACCCTTCTTTTTTGATAGTAGGTTTCACCTCCTGCTCTCCAAATGAAAGCATTAGCATTTCATTAGCATCTATCACAGGAGGAACCATTTGTTGCTGCAGTGGTAAGAGTGTACACTGGGCATGAAAACACCTGTTGTACAGAAGCACAGCTGCTGGCCCATCATGCCTGGGTTCTCTCACTTGATTTTCGAGTGGTCAGTGGGGGCCTGGCAACCTCAGCCACCGGCAGAATTAATTTGTTTTAATATGGAAAAGAGCCTCCTGAACGATTACCTTTCTCTGTTCCCGCGTTCTTTTTGTGTGTGGTTTATTATCGGAGGGGAAGGAATGTGGTCTTGGCGAACGTGTTCATACGCTCTATGGAGAAAACAAAGGATAAATAGTGTTGACATAATGGTGCCATGGGGATGAAAGAAAAAATCCATAAAAGATACTGGAGGAAATCTATGTATCCCGATTTTTTTAATGTACTGCAGGGACAAAATAATAATAACAACCATGAAATACATATCTACACAGTCACCAGCTTATGTATTGGCACCCCATCTGAAGTCAATCAATTCAACCACCATCTTTACTGGTGCTTTCCTGGGTGTTCAATACATGGTAGTCTGGCAATATTTATTATAAAGAGTAGAAAATTGTCATCATTTAAAATCAGTAAGATTAAGATAGAATAGTGACATCGTTTCCAATAAATTCTTGGCATGTCCCCAGGACTCAAGGGCTGCCCTTGTTATAGTTCTTTTGAGCTTTTCTGCATGTCAGCAACAATAATTTTACATACGTCACTAGAAGTTCTATTTACAGTAGCAGTGGAAGTATGATCTGTGAACTAAAAGTCATGTTTTTATGTTGCAATTCATTGTGCAACACAGGTACTCACTGTAGGTTATGGATCTGAGACAGAGAAAGCACCTGGCAGATGATATTGAATACGGACAAGTGCAAAGTGTAATATGCAAGTTGAAAAAACAACCTTTAAATACAGCATGAGAAATGCAGAGCATGAAGAATTTACCTATGTAAAATGTTTAGGTATTTATACTGACATTGTCATTTTCTTCTCTAGACACAGATAAGATGCTATAATGCTGAACAGAACATTAGGACATACATACAGTGTAGGATACAGGATTAGTTAAAAGTGTAGAATGTAAATCAAGATATGTAATGTTAAATTTATAATAACATGATCATTTTTAATATTGTGTACAATACTGGTCACCGCTTTACACAACAATATATATTGTTGCTCTGACATTCAAAAAAAATATACTACCTTCTTTCCTGGGCTTAAAGGCCTTACACTGTCAGGCTAAATGAAAAGCTTGTCAAATATTTCGCAGGAGGGTAAAGCTAAGTGAAAAATACAGTACAGGAATCCAGAGTGTGGTGCATTAGTGAATGATATAAGTCCAGAAACAAGGAAAATTTAAAATCAGTATATTATCTCTTGATCACCAGTGGGTCAAATTTGAATTCTGGTAGTTATTCTAGTATAATGTTCATTTCTTAGCAGAGTTTAATTCTACAAGATTTCCAGATTGTTACACCATCAGTGCTTAGGGTTGATTTTAACTGTACATACAGTATATATACTTAATATATGTAAATATACTTTTTGCAATGGCAATAGCTCAGATCTTGTAACAAAGACCGAAGAAACCACAAAGTATCCTCATTCTGATGTTTTTGTTTTTCATTTTTGTACATGACAAATTAATTTTGTGCCCTGTACAGCTTGTTTTCAAAAGATAATTTAATTTGTAAACCATTTGTGGTATTTTATCTCTCACTTGAGGCCCCGGAATTAGCAATTTAAATGTAGCGCACCATTTAATCAAAATTCTCTTTGATGGTTATGAGGAACACAGTTAATTAAAAAACACTTTTGCTTTTTGTGCTAATTTCAGGACATCCACTGGAACTAAAGCCTGCACACTGGATTATCACTCTGTTTATCTCCTCACAATGGCCAATGTAATCAGAGACTTGTTATTCATCTGGTTCATGCAACAGTACTAGTGGGTAAAGGAGGAAACTTCACACAAAGACTCTGAACCTCCCAACCAAATGATACATATCTTTCATAAGTATTTATAGCCATAAATCAAAGATTTATATTTCCTTCTTTCTGCGACTTCTGAAATAACCAATTGAGTGGACCTTTTGATGATCCATTTTGAGATAGAAACCAGAGGATCCGGGTGGTATTGGAAAGAAAGCAGTTATACTGGTGAGCCCAAATAATATTGAAGGATCAGTCCATGGATTCTCATGTTGACTTATATAAACAAAAGCAGAATCAGAAGGTTAGATGGTTGTCTCCTCCTAGTGTTGTGAAACAGTGAGAGCGAATTAAATTTTTATTTCTTATAATTTATGTTGATTGCTTCCTGTTAAAACCCTGAAAGGTGTCCTTATAAGATACTTACCTACATGAGGTTGCAATGAAGTACACAAATAAATGACTGGAAAAATGATAACGTTTCAATGTTGCCAACATGATCAAATGTTTCAAATAATTTTTGTGGGAATATTTAACAGAAAATTAAAAAAGAAGAAGGCTCCACAACCCAAAATGATGTGTTTCTTTTCTTCTCTTTTCAACCTGGAATAAACCTTTACTTGTTCCATAGATAGATATATCTAACAGATTCAACTTTGCAAATAACAGATTCTGTATCTGATATCTAAAGAGAGAGAGAGATAATTATAGAAATGTAATGTTGTACAGAATTCCAGTATGAGGTCTATATTGTGTTCTATTTACGGAAGGGTATGTGAAAGTCAGCGATATTGAGAATTTAAGCTTAGACCTTCACTTCATAGGGGAATCAAATGCCAGCCCCAAGTGTAAACTGCCTTGTCTTTTGTGCTGTCTTAGTATGAAATCCCCTACAGCCTTGCTCTCTTTTAAAGAGAGGGAATTGTTGTAACATGAAGTCCAAACACTGCATCCTCCCAACACCGTTTGTAAATGTCTATTGTGCTCAAGCTGATGGCTGTGAAAGAGAAGGAAAGGAAAAAAAGCCACCAGTTCTTGTCAAGTGGCTAGAGGTTTTATTTATAGCTTACAGATCAATATCTCATTTTAAATTTATAAAGATGCCTTGTCTCCTTCTGTAAGTAACTTCGTTGTGGCAGGGTGTACTCTGGGGAACAAAATGCCTAATACACAAAAAGTGAACTTCACAATTAACGGATACAGTTAGTTGCTCCTTGAAAAGGCTGACACAAAGAGAAAAAAGCAAAAGCACAGGAAAAGCTGTTTTTTTACAGGGGCTGTCCCCTGTTCACTTCAGACAGTAAGGCGATGGCCTACGGTCTTTGTTCAAGACGATTTTGCAATAAACATAATCTTCAAAACCTGATGATGAAATACACCAGCCTGGTTTGATCTCTATGTGTTTTGCAAGAGATTTAAGTATGTGTATCTCTTTTCTTTTTTGGGAAACCTGTTAAGTGCTTTGGAAGGCACAGTATAAGTGAAATATAAGTGCCCATATTCTGTCTCATGGAAACTGCTAAGAAAGGCATCTATTCCCTGATACATGCTGCACCATGCTGCACCCTGCTCAGCACATTCATGAGGGTCCAGGAGATGTCTGAAAAAAGAATCAGTGTATTATATAACTGAGGAAAGGCTTTTGCCCGAGCTTTGCTATATTCGTATTAATAGTGGCTGATGTAGAGAAAAAGGCTTTAAGACACCCTGTGTATCTAGGTCTCAGGCTATGCCACTTTGCATTAATGTCAGACATCACGGTCACTAATAATTGGCCTACTTAGTTGTCATCTTCCTCTTTTTCTAATACTGCATACTGTAGAAAGGGAGTACATGTATTGCAATACAGCCACCAACCCCCACCACCACATGCATAAGCTGCACATAAAATAACAATCA